TTTTTCTCCTGTTAGGCAGTTTCGGCTGTCATTCTGCAGAAAGAGCGCCCTTTATATGCCGCCGCTACACCACAGGGTGTCTTCGTTCAGCAGAATTTCTTCGCCTACAATTCATTTTTTGTACAATAATTCGTAAACTTAACTTGTTTTCCTATATTACTTTATGTTACATGTTATATTGCATTTTGTTTGTATTTTGAATATTTAAAATATTAAATATATTTGTTTTGTATTAAATAAAACATCTATAATCTTGTACTTACTGAAATAGCAACATTACAATGATTATTATCAAGTACATTTATTGAACGTGTGAAATATACCAGCTGTATATTTGAAAAGATATCTTACTTTTTGTTAAAAAATATAGTTTTTGTATTATTGATTGCACAATAAGATCTTCATTTTTTGGACTGGCAATGGAACATCGCGTAGTGCGAACCTGCGCTTTGTCAAACGACAGGTACTTCGTGTGATCTTGTTACATATATTGACAATAGAAAAGAATCTCTACTCCTTTAAAGTTTACGTAAAGCTAAGCGGAGTTCCGATCAGATAGCAGCAGTGTCCGCTTTATCACAATAGCTTATAAAAGTTACTTGAAATTTAATCCTCATAAGATCGAGGTTATTTTGTATTACTTTTGAAGTATCATTTTACTTGAACTAGAAAAGATTGTTTAGAGGAAGCGATTAATATTATTATAAAGAACAAATTTTATTGTAATATAAGTTTTGTTTGCATTGATGTTAGCTTTATTTTAAACGTAAATTGTACCTAGATGCAAGTCAAGAGTATATTAAGAAATGATTCATACTGAAATTCGTATAGGTATTATATATTATAGGTATGTTTTGATTTAAATACTTGCTGATCCGACAGACCTTGTACTGTCGAATCAAGTGTGTAGCAGGCCCGGCTAGAAAAATGGTGTTATTACGTTTTTCAGGGCATTTTTTTTTTCTAATTTTTCTCTTCACAAGAATCTTCCTCGGACTTTATCGAATATTTGAATTAAAAAAAATCCGAAATAATCCAGTTCTTCTCGAGATTATTTTTATTTGTATAGATATTACGTAAGACACTGATTTAACTGTTCGTAAGGTATTCAAAAATTGCAGTCTATTCAACCAACGTCTTTTATATGTCAGAATTACGGTATATAATGTTAGGATTAATCACAATAAGTGTACTGCACAAGCACTTGAAATTCCTCACATGATCAAGTAATGCTGTGTAGCGTGGGTGCGCGTCACAAAGGATGCAACTTGACACCAGCATGTCGGTACTTTGTACAAGTCGCCACAAAGCTGTATTGAAGGTCCGCCAAAAGACAGGAAGTGAAGGACAACGTGCGATAGAACCAATTACCCGCCCCCGATATATGAAACCAGTAATTAGTGTAAAATATCCGAGATTTAAACGGAAACAAACTGCCATGTTTCTCACTTGAATATAACTTATAATATTAATTTAATTTTCAATATTTTTAGCTCTTGAATGAAGTCTGTATTACGTACCTAGTTAGGAAAATAGTTATTTAACTCAAAAGTTAGAAATAACTCGACGGAGTTTTCATTTGTAATAGGTACCTACTACCTAATCAGAAATTTTTGGAATCAATACTGGCTGACATAAAGCAAAGCGAAATCTATTTAAAGATATTTATTAACATTTGCATGATATTGATATCTAGGTAAATGGACTATTCATTTTATTGCTAGAAGGATAAGTTCAGATTTATATCATTGCGACCACTAGTAGGTAAGAGGTTAAAATTAATGTAACTACTAGATTTGCTAATAAGTAGGTAATACTCGTATATTTACTTATAATTTCGTGTTTTTTCTGTTTCTTCCTCTAAAATATTCTTGAAAGCTGTATGCTATAAAAAAGACCTATGAACACCAAGAAGTGGAACTGCCTTGAAATCTACCGTAATAGAATTCAGTCATTTCATTCTATCCGTTCGTCCTCTTGTAAAGTCGGTAAAAAAATAACATTTAAAATTGAATGCTCCCATTTACTACAGACTTTAGCAAAACAATATACCAAACCTGAATTATATTATTGCAGAATTTAGTTAATCTCATTAGACTCGCAGAGAGTATAGAATTGATAAAGCAAACATATGAGCAAATTAGGTTAACAAATAAATAATAATAATTGAATCTTATTCATATTATTTAAGTGAAAGTTTGTAAAGATGTTTGAATATTTTTTATTCAACGTGTTAGCTGTTGAAAGGATTTAGATAAAAATTGACACAGACTAGTAGGTATATGATGGGACTTTATGATGATAATTAAACCTTAATGTTTGTTAAGAAGATGAGAAAAACTTCGCTCGCACGTAAAATGTAGATACCTAACATTTTACGTGCGAGCGAAGCCGTAGGCAGAAACTATTATTCAAAAAAGCAGACAATTGTAAAATTTTACAAAATCATTTTTTTAAATAAAAGCGATGATAACATATTGTCATTCGTCTATAGATATAATTCATCTCCGTCATGTATAGAAGAAATAGGCCGACCTTTCGGCAGGCTTGTTCTTTTAGGATTGATATTTTTTTGATACAATGTCTAGAAAAACACAGTAGCCCTCAAGATTTATGGCGTGAGGCGATCATAGCGCATTAGTAGCTACCATTGTCCACTGTATGGGGCTATTGTCACCGACGAGCTCTCGTGGCGCAGAACAAGTAGCTTGCCAGACTTTGTTATGTATTTTTTATAAAGCACTTTAAAGCGCTTTACAATAACTTGTTAGGATAAAAATAGTCTTATTGCAGCATTGGCTCAGCGCTGTATTTTTTTAAATCTGTAACTTGGTTAAAGCTATTGTTCTATGCAGTCGTAAACATGTCGACAGGTTTATTGCGTTTGTAATTGTAACCGTGAGGTGTAAAAGTTGACGAGTAGGTACCTTACAGTAGCCACTTGCTTCTGGGAAAATGCAAAGGACTTTTGTTGACTGTAATTCTAAAATTTGAATGGAACTTACTAAAATTAGTTTGTTCTTTTTGTTCTGCACTTTTAGTTAATATTTTATTCAATCACTTATGTTTTTTATTAAACTTAGCTTATAATGTAAGTTATCTATACATATAGGTATGTAATAAAATTGTAACTAAGCCGAATCTGTACATTAGATATTTTTTGGAAAATCGTATTAAAATAAACATTATTATGGATACAGAGGCCGAATCTATACTTTTTAGATTTTTTGTCTGTCTGTCTGTCTGTTACCGCATCACAGAAAAACCACTGGGGTGATTTTGATGAAATTTGGTATGAAATTAATTTATATTAAAAAATACAAAAACTGCAATGTAAGAGTATACCTACTAATATGTAAAACCTAAGAATTTGGTTTTTGGTCATCTGAACGCGGACGGAGCCGCGGGCAATGCTAGTATAAAATAATATAAGTTATCTAATATATTGTTATATAGTTACTAGGTATAGATTTAAAGCAAAACTGTAAGTGGTACTATTGCTAAATGATATAGTTAATAATCTTTAACTAAGATATCGTATTATAATTTATATATACATATATTAAATTAGTTTTATGTACATTTCTGGGGTAGTATATGTTAAAAAAATCCACATAGGTCATATCTATTATGTTGAATTTGTATAGAATGAAATTTATCTTTCTAAATACTCTGCCTTTAAAATTTTACTCATATTACGAGTTTCGCTTTTATCTATTAAATTATTTATTAACGTTACAGGGATGTTTTTTATGTAATAAGTAGAATCGTAAGACACATTTAATATTTTCAGTGTACAGATACAGGCATGTATATAAATAAGTACCTATATATCCAGTCGTAGTTGTTCTAAAATTTTATTTTCTTTAATTTTGATATTAACTAAACTTTAATTAATGTAATAAAAACGTTAAAACTCTCACGTATGTTAAGTATAAAAAAAGTATATCGAGATTGAAGAAAAGAAAATTTAGATTTCTAAGAGAGCGCGGTGATCTCTAAAACAAAAGCAAAGCAAACCTTTTACAAACTGCTATATTTTAACAACGTGTAATTAAAGGTTTGGCTTCGCTCGAATATGCATAAATCATGCGTCCGCCGCGATCTGCTGACCGAAATAGAGAAAAAATTAAAAACATTAAGCGTCTGAGATACGAACCGAAATATAATAACTATTCGGTTTGTAGCTAGATATGTATTGATTTGAGATCTGTACGAGGCGTGGGAACAGTTGCTCTAAATTATCTGACTTGTAAGAAGGCGTCTAAAACAATCAGTCTTGCTGTAATACACCTGAGGTATACATACCTATGTTAAAATTTCTTAAGGCAAAATCGGTCTACTTGTAAGCTTTTAGTTATTGTGTAGGATGTGTACTCACTCACCTGAACAATGATCTACATATGTACTATCAATGTAGGATTGGTGTCGCGTAATTTGTGCAGCAAAATTTTATATTTATTAATATAACACCTGGATGAAGAAAAACGAATAACCAGTTAGTATACTAAGCTATTAACTTGGCCATTTTCTGTATTTAATAAATAAGTAGGTACCTATATTAGATATTTATAGTACAGAAATCATTATAGAAATTGATTTAAGTAATTTTACAGTATTTTAATATTATATATTATAAATTTATATATATATATATATATATATATATATATATATATATATATATCTTTATTTTGTGTACACCCACAAATAAAGGATACGCATAGTTTTTCTTGTCATAAGACGCTTAAGTAATGTTATAAGCCCATAATTCACGGGCGGGGAGGGGTGTGGCGGAGGCTGTGCCGGGGGGAGCAGAGGCTGGGGTGCGCGTGCGCAGGCCGGGCCGGGCGGGGGGTGCGCGGCGCGGGGCGAGGTGACAACCGCTCGTTACGTTTATCCCAAGCCAGTTATTAAAAACGTCTTGGCGCGAGCGGTTTGCCGCCCTGTAATTATCCAGTTGAAGGTTCTTTGCTACGTTGTCACCACCGTCGCCGGAAATGCAATACGTGGATCCGCCCGCGCAACAGGTCTGTCCGCCCGCCTACGCCCTTCGCTATTATTTGACGTGTTATTATACTTATTACAGTGATATTGAGCAATTATATTTTCATTTTGAACATTAAGTGTTATAGAAAATAATAATTTTAAAATTAAATATGAGTACCCATTTTCAAGAGCGGATGTTAAATAAGAATTAATTAAACAGTGTAATATAAATATAAAATATTTTTATTGTTACAGATGATGATGAGTGGTTATGGGTGTAGTTATGGGCGAAGTGATGCAATATCGCCAGCTTCTGATCTATCATCGTGCAGTAGTGCGTCGTCAGGTGCTTGGTGTGGCACTACACACTGGCGGGAATTACCGCCTTATCCACAGTATCCAGCTTACTGGCCGCCTAGCACGAACACAGAAGATGCACGTGAACTTCAACGTCGATGTGCTAAATGTCGCTGCCCTAACTGCTTAACAGAAGCTGCTGGCTTTGGGCCTAATTATGGAAAAGATGGAGCAAAGCGGGAGCATGTCTGTCACGTCCCCGGTTGTGGAAAAGTCTACGGGAAAACTTCACATCTAAAAGCTCATCTTCGCTGGCACACGGGAGAACGCCCGTTTGTGTGTAATTGGTTATTCTGTGGAAAGCGGTTTACGCGGTCTGATGAACTACAACGGCATTTACGCACACATACTGGCGAGAAGCGATTTGCGTGTCAACTCTGCGCAAAACGGTTCATGCGCTCAGATCACTTAGCGAAACATGTGAAAACTCATTCTAACGTGACAAGAAAAAGTAAAAAATCAAAAGAAGATGACAAAGTCGACTCTCCAAAGACAAGTGAAGATAAACCTATTACACCTCAATCAATAACAGAGGCAACTGTGGCTGCCCCAACTTCTGCCTCAATTGGAAGTACTAATTACGGAACAGTGCCAGTTGCAAATACGGCCCCTAAGCAAATGTTAAATTACGCAACAGTAGCTCCTAATATGATGCATAACACGCCCTCAAGCTATAGTAGCAGTGCGATGTTTGGAGGTGGTAGCATGATGTACGGAAGTGCGTGGTGTCCGGAAGTCCGTCAAGACACATTATACGCTCGTACGCCAGCAAGAGATCCAAGGTTTTATCAACAATATCCTTCACCCCTTGCAGCTTACCAGTGCGCGTCTAAGGATAACTATGCAGTGTTTCAAGGACATTATAATTTGCAACCTCCAGTTGCTATCGGACAATAAAGTGTTTGTGTGCATGTCCTTAAAAGTTTTCATGAACAAAATATTTTAATTTTATTGACAATAAAAGTTATAACGTTTAAGTTACCATTTAGCTTGAAATGTGATGTGCCTTGATCGATTTTTGTATATTTTTTATTTTTAATTAAAGAAAATTGAATAAAAATTTTGTTTTTCTGTATCTTTACATTTTTCTTTTTTTTTCTGCTTGATTCTTTCTGCCTCCTCATAGCTTCAGTAAATTAACTAAAATTGGTTAAGCGTAATATCTAAACAATGATAAAAATTTAATTATTTCAAACATAATTTATTAAAATTTACTTATGAGAAGTGATAGGAATAGAGCATTCCACTTTCCAAAATTTCACCTATGGATCATAAAAAGCTTTAAAAAACAGTTCATGTAATTCATTCGACTACATTATTTAATATTAACGTTTTATGCAAAAGCATAAGTAAAATAAATAAGAAATTAGATTTATGTAAGGCAGGCAATAAGTAATCGTTTATTGGCAAAGAAAACATTTTTATTTCTATACCTACTAGCTCGATCCCCCTAACAAAATTTCATCCCCATTTTCACTCCCTTAAGGGATGATTTCCGGGACAAAAAGTCCTATGTCATTCCCAGGGTCTCAAACTATCTTCTTACCAAATTTCATCTAAATAGGTTCAGTAGATCCAGAGATTACCCCCTACAACGTCACAAACTCACAAACTCACAAACTTTACCTCTTTATAATATTATATTATAGTATAGATTTTCTTTCAGAGGCGTCTCTGAAAGAAAATATTATAATTAATCTATTTTATTCCTTCACGTAGTGTTATTTATTATAAATATACATATATTAATTACTACATAATAATTGTAATTTAATAAAGCGACTGAATACTTTGCTGGTGGTAATTGGCGAGCACACTCGAATGTAAAAACGTGTTACAAGTAGTATAATAACTTTGGATGGCTGGTATGGAAGCACAACGGTGGGGAAATCTTATTATAGAGTAATAAAACAAACTTATAATGATAATTTTAAAAGAATATGAATTTATAAGAGTAATTTAAAAAAACTATAATGATGACGGAATACTTCTAATACTATATTAAGTATGCCATGCCATTAGCTTTTAAACTTCCAAAATTTACTTGTAAATGCAGTCTGATATTCTTATGAAACTTTTTCTTCAGAGTTAATTTTTTATATTTTTAATGCTACAGACATCATGTTATATAGGTTTTGCGTTGGAATGTAGGTAATTTATTCAATTTAACTATAATTAATTTTGCTAAATCTGCTTATAAAATGTTGGAACAAGAATTAATTATAATATATAGCTAAATATAAGGTCAGTTTAGAAATAAAAAGTGGTACCGATATCAATTAATATATTTGTATTTGAAGGATACAGGCAAAGAACAGGAAATGTCACAATTTTTGTTTTATTTATGTATGTACCTACCATAAAATATATGTTCTATACAAAATAAAGTAACAAAATGTCGACAAAGGATAACTTACCTCTTTAAGAGATTTCTTCCAGAAACCCTTTAGTAGTGAGAAAATGTTAAGTTAGTGCGGTGTAGGTACAGTACAGCATTAAATGGTATAAACTTAATATTAAAATATATGTTTTGTACTGTAAAATCTAATGTTTATGATAATTGCATTCCCAACCATTGGTTTTTGCAAATATTTAAAGGATGTCGCTAAAATACGTTTTTATCTATGCCCAAAGCGAAAAGAACTGGGAATGTCCATGTCCATCCTCCTTCTTTACCGGTATGCCATGGCATACCGGTAAAGAAGGAGGATTATAAAAAATCTAGATAGTAAAATTTTATTATATTTCTAAACTTTAAATTGCTTTACTTTATAATCTATTCATTAGGGCATTCCCTGTTCATTGTCAGTACCCTTTATTTGGTTCGTGAGTTAGCTACGCGCTGCTACGTAAGTGCCGTAGCCGATGTAATATAGCATAGAGTCGGTGCAAATAGTATTTTAGATAAATTATAATTTTCTAATCTTCGAATACATGTTTTAAATTAGTAATTTGTACACTTATATGACATATAATATATTTTGATAGAGACTAGGGTGCTGGAATACAAGTTTATGAATTGCTTTTGCCTATTTTTTTATAAACCAATATCACTTAGTGTTTTATAATACTTAGTATTACGTTACATAAGACTGCAAATATTATAAACCTTGAATATAATTTGCAAATAAAGGTTTTGCGGCTGCTATTTGATTTAGAATTAGTACAAAATTATAATATTAAGTCAGTTATGTCTTCTCGTCACGAGATGTCGCCAGGTACCGCGAGCAGGACCGGAGCGATTGCGACGGCAGCGCGGCCAAGGCGTAATTGCACGCGGCTATTATCTGGGCGGCGCTCGGCGCGCATGGCGGCCGGTGCGAGCGGGATGCACTCGATAATACGTAAAACAAAACGAGGGAGTAATGATTGTAAAAAACGAGCAGCACGCAAATTATAGTGAGAAATGAGGCAGCCGGTAGCGGTGGGGGCTTGTGGTGCGGTGGGGGCCGGAGTGCGGCAGTCGCGGTCGCTCGGCGCACGCAGACCGCCCGCGCCGCCTGCGCCGCGCCTCGCGAGTGCTGTGAGTGAGTGACATGCGCCATCTCCAGCGCCATGAGCGGCAAGGGCTCCTCCTCACCGGACCTGCTCATGAATGTGAGTCCAGCGCGCCCTCACTTCGCATCGCACACACAAATCTAAATCTTACATATGATTCCATACCGTTTGGCAAACCATCTGACAACTGTCAGTTAAAATGGTTAAAAGATTTTCAAAATTTTATAATTATTTCCTTAAGTTACTGGTAGCTTTGTCTATTATAATAATCACTAGATATCAAAAGACCTTACTTGTGTTAAGTGTTTACACTTAACTTGCCTTGTACGAGTTCATAACTTTATAACTCGTCAAATTTTGGTATTTAACATTTTCAAAAACAATAATAATCAACGTTACAATTAATAAAATCAAAGGAGCAAATCCTGACACCACTACTTCACAGTTTATAAGACTCAAATCTCGTTCAAAATAGTGAGTTCATAAAACGGCCTGTTAGTCACAGCGGGCTTTGGGGTATTGTCGATTTGGCACGCACCATAAGCGGCATTGGCCGGTCCCTCGAGCCCTAACCTTTATTACTATTCATAGGTCCTCCTGACTCAAGTGCTCCCAACGGAGTCACGGGCTGAAATATTTTAGCAAACTAACTTGTTTTATTCATGTTTCATACCCAATCCATAAAGAAATTCAAAATAAGTAGATCCATACATATAACTACCAAACTTAGCTGTAATACGCATTTCTATATTAACAATATAAGAGATATTCCCATTACGTTACAATTTATTGCATTACCTCTCACCGATTTCCCGTGAAATCGGTTAACTGAAAGTACCTGTGCCCGATATTTATTAATACTTAGTGATATTTATAAGGTAAATGTTATCGTTATTGTCTAAAAATTGCCCATTAAAGTTAGTTCCGAACATTACTAGCAGCTCGTAAAAACTACTGAAATGCTAATTCAATTAAGTGAAGTCAAATAAATAAAGGTCGGAAGGCGTTCGAGGTCCGTAACCAATTCTTAATGACACATAGAGCCTTCATCCATTTTCTACTCAATTTCCTTTTCATATTAGTTTAATCTAGAGGCAGGACTACTGGCGCCAAAAATTATGCGGCGACGGCCGTGTCGGGCGCGGCTAATCTGTTTAGTGTTGTATTGTAGAGCTCTCGGCTTCTTTGTGCGGTGAAAAAGGAAGAAATTTATGCGTTTCGGCATCGTGTGTGAGTTTTTTGTGGGAATGTAATTAATAAATCGGCGGCAAAACTAACAGTGTTTTCGTTGTTATGTCGACCAAGTGATTGATGTGTGTTGGACGGCACAATTAGATCATGTTGAAATGAACTAACGTTTTCTGATATCAGTAAGACTGTTTTATTATATTATAAACATTACCTACATATTATGCGAAAATGTTGTCTTTGTAGTAGTATTCAAAGAATGTTATAAATATTATCAGTAAAAAATATTAAATTATGTTTATTTAAGATATAAATGTAAAAATAATAATAATATATTAAATATTATTGATTAATATATTCATCAATTATAAATGCATACTTAGAACTTATACTTATCGTCAACTTAGAAGATTATACGAAAAAACGTAAGATTTTTTTGTACGAGTATCGTATTTCCATATAAAATTCATTATATGTGTTCATTATTGTGTATATGTAATATGTTTGACGCCATTTTACCACTTTACTGGTTTAAAGATAAAACTTGTTTCTCCGGAACCGATCGGCGACCACAAGATGCGTAGGCGCAGGGCTCGGTTATATTTTACAAGTCACGATGCTCTTCGTGCTTCAGGTGTAATGGAATAGAAGAATATTTGTTTAGTAATGACGGCTACCAGAATGACTGGCTTTTAAACAATAGTCGTTCCATTGGTAATACGGATATCACTCATTTGTTGAGTGTTTCGATTTAAGTACAGTGAAGTTGCACATCTATTGTGTGTTCCAATTTCACATGAAATAAAAATAATAAAAATATGGTATCCTTTATATGTACATAAGCATGTTTATTTGGATGTTTTTAATCGACTTAAGTATTGATTAAGATTAATCCAGGTAATGATTTCCTACTATTTAGAATATAGTAATAGCATAAAAAACCTTTTTTGGATTACAAATTAAAAAAGTTTTAGTTTTTATAAGAAACTGACTACAAGTAGCTACGAAAATAACTAATATGTTCTTTAAATACTTAAGAAATGCCTGTGTTTTTAATAATGACCACTTTAAAGTTCTTGACAATTAACATCTAGTTGTCCATCATCCGTAACATCCATGAATGATGTACAACTTTTCTCTAGAAAATATATGTTGTATTGGAAAATATTTATTTAGCTTATACTAGAAAAGCTTGAAAAGCGACACGC